TGAAAGCAGAGCCAGCCTGGGGGCGATGGAGCCTTCTCAGCATCTAAAAAAAGCCCCCAACAAAACCAACTGCTTCCGTTTATAGCTTTCTGTAAAACAGAGAAAGTCAAAGCCCAAGCAGCAGCTTCATCCTGGAGGGATGCATTTACCAACAGCTGCTGGGAGAAAAAGGCAGGCAGGAGATGCACCAGCCAGGACTGCAGTTCAGCCCAAACATTTAAATACACAAGCTGCAAATATAATTTCTGGTCCCTTCCAACGAGGTCCCTTCCAACCCCTACAGTTCTGTGATTCTGTGATTCTGCTTACAGATCCAAGGAGTGGGAAAGCTGAGCTCTTAATTCTCCTGCTTACCCAAATTTCTCATTTTTCCCCTTTGAGAGAACCAGGAAATCACATACAGAATGCAAGGTTACATGCTGACAGGCACCCGGGACAACAAGACCTCCCATGAGGTAGGCAGGCAAAGCATCACACCAGGGAACTCCAGATCTGCTCTTGGAGGAACCTTGAGGTTCCTCTGAAGCAGCAGAGAGAAGGGGAGAAAGAGCTGACCAACAGCCTTAAGCAAACCTGGCCTGCCAGCCTTACCTATGACTCCAAGAGTATTGTATGACTTTAATAGATGTACTCATATCTACAGATGGGTCTGCACTGCCTACCCTACCTGCTGAGTTGGGCCAACATCCTGGTCTGCTCTAGAAGTCTTCCCATTCCCTATCCAAGCTCCTGGCTGGCCACACAGATGGAAATGTGGAAACACTTGAATATTCCAACTGGACAAGATCATCTTTGCATGGATAGAACAGAAACAGACTGGCAAGAGAGCTGGGCACCAAACATTCTCCATCCATGAGGGCTGCAATGACCACGAGTACCAGTGGTTGCCCTACAAACAGGGCTGGAGCATCACATGGTGGTGAATGTGGCTCACCCTAACACACTCTGATGGCCTCATTTCAACCAAACAAGCAGAAATCCTAGCTGCCACCTTGCCCACCTTGCTGTGGGATGTCCCTGACATTAGCCTGAGCCAGCTGCCTGCGCCAAGTCTTGGCTTTTGTGGCATTTCATGGAACAGGTTGGCTCCTCCACGGCAACCCCAACTGCTGAGAAATCAATCATGACCAGCAGTTATCTGTTTGATGGTTAACAGCCAGAACTGTAGCCAAACTGGTTGTTAATTGGGCTAACAACTGATTTCAAGGGGTTGTTCAGCAGGGCCCAGCACTCCCAGCAATTGACCAGGAGCTGTAACTAGCAGCCGGCCCGCAATTAACGGAGCCTGGGGAAATTCGCGGGCCGTTACCAAAGGGCCGGCTCCCAGCTGGGCAGCTGCTTCTCACGGGCGCTGGGCTGAGCATGCAAATCAAGCCAGCACTCAGCATCTCATTTCACATCTCCAAGCCAAATTTCTCCTACCAATGTACAGCCTGCGCCTTGTCACCTTGCATCTCAGAAGCATTTTCCGTTGTAATTGAGTTTGGGGTTTTTTGGGTTGGTTGGTCTTTCTTTTGGAAGTTGCAACTGGGGTTTTTCTCATATTTGCTGTGAGCATCCACCTTCCAGCCCTCCTCCAAGTCCCTCACAAAGTCTGCTTTGCTATGGCAGCAACGAAACCAGGGAGCACACCAAGATCTGCCACGCCAGCTGGTGCCGCCTGGTGTAACTGACCTTACACGATAGCACGTCTTTGGGCAAGGGCTGCCATCCGCTCTGGGAGGAACTCATAAAATGAGAGACTCCATCCACCAGGGTGTGTTACTGCAATGTAGAGTTGGCAAAAGGATCACTGAAGCTGAGTTTTTCCATCTCCTTACATTATAAAAGTTCTGAAAGATGGAAAAGAGAAGAAAAAAGACTGTAGGCCATATGGAAAGGAGAGGTCATCCTAGGAAGCAGGGACCTTCACAGTGCCATGACTGCATCTGATAGGGATCCTCCAAACTGAACAGGGGACCCAGATGGGAGCAGGGATACACATCAGGCACCCACGCTCCAACAGCCCTCAGCATCCCGTTTCCAGCCCACAATAGCACAAGGTCAGCAAAAACACCTGGGCACAGCCATAGTGCTTCTTACCAGTCTGGTTCAGGACTTCACAGTCACAGACTGCATCTTGGCCACTGCATCTGACAGCCACAAGGGACCTTCTGGTGCTCCAGCCCTTACGAATGCAGGAGAGATGCCGTACATTGAATGAACGCCTCTTCTCCAGAGCAGCACATCTGCAGTGGGTTTCATAGTGGAGCAGCACGGGCTGCTACTCACAAGCCCCAGCTCACCCTTTGGTGAACACAGCATGGCTTTGTCAGGAGAGCAGTATCTTGCCCCAACACCAAAGCAGAACACAGTCGCAGCTCCCCGGGACCCTACGCCAAAGGAGATTCCTGGGGGAAAGCAGGAGTAGCCCCATTTCTGGGGAGAACTGTGGCTGCTTGAGGTTGTGTGTGGGCAGGAGGCAGAGGTGCTGCAATTGGAAAGTGGGGTGGTAATGAGGAGCAGATGTGTAGGTGCTTGGAGCATCCCAAGTGCTATGGAAGTGCTAAGTGTTATTATTATGGGCAGGAAACAAGCTGCAAAAACCCACCGATTCCACAATCCCTGTCTCTGTGTCTTCTCCAGGATCTGGGGCCGACTCTCCTCATCAGCCCCAGGCAAATGGGAGCCAGAGTGGAGGTGCCATCAGCTGTGCCTACCAGATTCAGAGGGGCTGTGAAAAAAGGAGAGGGGCCCAGAGAGAGAAATGCTCAGCAGGAGCATTGGGGCTGGTCCATGCATGGCCAGCGAGCCTTCCTGCCCTGGAGACTTGCTATCCTGGGAGAACACCGAGCTTATTTCTGCTCGGTCCTATACCTCCCTTCAAGGATGCTCCTGCAACTCTTGCAACCACAGCTAGGGGGGTGGGAACTAGATGATCTTTAAGGTCCCTTCCAACCCAACCATTCTATGATTCCATCTGGAGTGGCTGTGCATGAGCAGAAATATGGGATCCCCTACTGAGTCCTTAACAGTCCCTGATTCTGGCTATAACTCCCCTTCCAAGGAGGGGTCTTTAGAGAGCAGGGCTGAGATGATCCACACTCTGTGGCCATTCCCCGCCCCCTCCTCCAGAGGAATTGCTCTCACACAAATGAAATGTGTGTAATTAATGGGCAGGGGGCTGGACAGGTCCGAGATGAAAGCGTTTCCTGGACTTGTCCTTCATTTGCATGGTATCAGAAGCTGTTCAGAAGGTGTGACTTTTCCCACAGGGAGCCCTGGCTCGGTGGCACAATAAAGCCAGGACTTCTTACCCAGAATTAATTAAAGGAGGGGGATGGGGATGGCAGGGAGATGTTTGAAAGCTGAGCCTGATGCAATAAACAAACAGCCCAGCCCTCCTTCCCAACTGGAGCGTGCCCCGTTCTTGCCATGCACTACAAGGCTCACCCTGCTCCATGGGCACCTCATGGACAAGTTGCTGTGCGTTCACTCTGTGTTGATGACTGGGCTGCTCATGGTGAGAGACAGGACAGAGCACAGACAACAAGCTCCAGTAGCAGACCAAGCTCTGGTGCAGTGGGGGGATACAGCCCTGCTCCAGCAGCACAGCTTGCTGCTCTTGCCACCTCCACCTGCTGATCCCTGCTATGGAATCCTGAAGGCTGGAAGAGATCACTAAGATTGTCTAGACCAACTGTCAACCCATCACCACCACATCCCTCAGTGCCACGTTGCTGGGAATTGGGCATGCTGCTCCAGCCAGGATCAAGTGATATCAGTGCAGGAAAAGGGTATGAGAAGCCATTAATTAATTCACTTACTCATTAACTAAGTAGCAGCAGGCACTTTAATCTTCCAAGCAAAGGCAAAATGGCATTTGCTGGCTGGAAGCTGAATCTAGACACCTTCATGCAATAAACAAAGCCCCAAATTGTAATGCTCCTAGGTTGTATGGTAACCCAAAAGCTCTTAAATGAAAAGGAACTAATTAACCTCAGACCAACCACCCTGGGAGAGCCAGCATCCCTCGGCAGGAGCCAGGCCTGGGTGCCTTTCTCAGCAGCACAGCCAATAGCACAAGCTCATAAGGCTGTGCTGGGACACACTTCTTCCCCAAACCCTGTCCCCTTGTCCCAGGGTGCTGGGTGGCCTCGGGCATGGAGTGCCCAGGCCATGCCCTCCCCCATGCCATTATCCCAGGGGAAGAAACAAGGGGACACCTGGTGACCTGCCTGAAGCCAGTCCTGCCCTTCTGCTGCCCTTACCTGGAGCAGCCACCAAGTACCGATTCATCCAGGCTCGCAAAACCATTAAGAGAAGCAATTAGACAAATTAATGAAAGAAAAGCACCCATTAAGACCTATCAAACACCATCTCCACCTAGGGAAGGGCCAGGAGCCATTCACCTGTATTCCCAGCAATCTGGGGACAACAACACGGGTTTGTCCCAGCACTGTGATCTCCAGCCCTGATTGAGACGCCTCCTTACACCACTGCCTGGCCAACTGGAGACAACTGGGGCCACTTGAGAAGAAGCTCTGGGCATTCTCAGAGAGCTGCGGGTACCCAAGGTCAGGTTGGCTGGGGCCCTGGACCCTGAGCTGTGGCACCCAGCCCACAGCAGGAGGGAGGAACTGGGTGGGCTTTAAGGTCCATTCCAACACAACATTGTGCGATTCTGATATGACTCCATGAAAGACTCTCCCCGTGCCAAGATTCCATTTTACTGCACCCCCGAGGAACAAATGCACGCACCTCCATAGGGCAGAGAGGTGCCATCTCCCCATTAACCCTGGGAATTCCTCAAGGAAAATGATTTCCATAAAACACACCTGGATCCAGAAGTTCAGGCACCCTCCCATCTCTGCTGCTTTGGGAAGGGCTGGCACCATGCAGCAGCCTCAGCCTGTCCTGCATCTCTCCATCCTCCCCACCCCCCTTCCATCCTGCTTCTCCAGGCCCTCCCAGGAAAGCAGGCAGGCTCAGGTAGGCTAATACAAATTTTTAATGCACATATTAAATAAATATTTCAAATCATTTCACATTAAATTTTGTACACAACTGAAAAAAAAAAAAATCCTCAAGGAAACAGGAAAAAAATAAAAATAAAAAAAATTGGATGAAAATTCACCCCTGGTCCTGGCTTCTATCCAGTGTCTTTGTTTGCCCTCCCCATTAAGAATAATTGCTTTAACCCTTTGGAGAGAGGCAGTCCCAGGGCAGCATGAGCGGAGTGGGGCTGGGTTTGCTCACTCAAAGGATTTCATCTTCCCCTGGATCCTTTTTTGACCTAAATAAAAGTCTGGGCCTCCATCAACAGAAGCTGTTACGGAAACCCTCTCTTTTCCGAGGGCAAAGATGAGAGAGCAAACCTGGAAGAGACAGCTGAGGATGGAAGAGTCAAGCACCAAACCGAATACTACCACAAAACAGCCCAAAGGGGCTCTGCAGTGATTTGTCAGCTTCTTTAATTTGACAAATGAAAAAATCCACCTGATTTTTTAAAGAAAGTCAATTTTTGGTGAAAAGCTCACATTTTGAAGATGGAAAAAAAAACAAAAAAACAAAAAAAAAAACCCACAACAAAAACAGTTATCAGCCATCACCCGCTGCCTCACCGTAGTAGTTAAAAAAAATGAAAAATAAAAAATTATCCACAGATGCTCTGATGGGTGAGCGGTGCCAAACTGGTCCAGGACTCCCTACGAGGCACTCAAGGGCAGTTGGCCCTAGTGGACATGTGAATCCTCCGTCACCTCGAGGCACATCCTTTCCCTCCATCCTTATCCAACCTCTCTGCTGAGCATCCATTCAGGTGAGCATCCGTTCAGTTCGGTTGGGTTGGATTCCCATCTTTTTTTTTTCCTTGTTTGTTTTAAGCGAGGATTTTCCCCCCTAGAGCTACGAAAAAAAAAAAATAAAAAAGTACAAACCAAAACACGACCCCAAACACTAAAACATTTCTAAGCGAAGGGCTCTTCCCCCCTTCAGCAGTCTTTGAACATTTCATCTCTTGTAAAGTTGGAGTACAAAAATAGAGCCTCTTTCTTCTTTTTTTTTTTTATCTTTTTTTTTTTTTTTTGTAAAAACAGAGCCACCCCCAAACCATCAACAACTAGTAGCGAAGTTCTTTTATCCTCCCCCCATGCCCCGCTGTTGCTTTCTTTTTTTTTCCCTTTAAGAACCCTATCACAGCGTCTCTATGCCAGTCCACGAGGGCACGCGTCACGGGCGCACCCTGGCGCTGGAGTTTCGAGTCCTTTTGCTCCTGCGGTTGAAGGGGTAGTTGAGGAACTCGAAGCGCCGGTGGGGCTCGGTGGTCTGGTGGCCCTTGGGGAGCCGCTTCATGAAGTGCACCTCACGTTGGTGCTGCCGGGTCTTGGAGCCCTTGCGCGGGCGGCCCTTGCGGGTGAAGGCCATGTACCAGCCCTCGTACTTGGCGTTCTGCAGTGCCGTGTAGTTGTTCTCCAGCACGATCTCGGTGAACACGCAGTCCTTGCCTTTGCCGTTACTCTGCAGACGGGGATAGAGGGATGGGGATGAGCGACGGGAGCGCTTCTCACCGCTTGATTTCTAGCTGGGAGTGAGCCACCCACCCACCCTTTGGGCAGTGAGCACAGGAAGGGACAAGACGTGGTCTGTGAGGACGGTGGAATGATGTGAAGGATGAGGGTTCGGTTGCTGCCCAGATTTTGGCCGGTGCCCCATCCCTGGAGATGCTCAAGGTCAGGTTGGATGAGGCCCTGATCTGGTAGGGGCATCCGGCCCACAGCAGTGGGTGGAACTGAGTGGGTTTAAAGGTCCCTTCTAACTCAAACATTCTGTGATCCTACAGTCTTCAGGGTCCCTTCCGACCCAACCATTCTGTAACACTCACAGATACTAGTTGCAGGGATCAATGGAATAGCTGGAGGCTGAGCTCCTGCACCTCAGACAAGGCACAGGGACCAGGGAGAGGACCCAATGTGTCATGGTTCCCGAGCAGGTTAACATCAGCCAACCCCAAGAAATGGAAAAACCCTCCTGAAAATTCATTGCCCTGCCAGGATTTTGCTCATCCACCCCGGGGTAGGAGCACGGAGGCTCAGAGGGAGCGTGACTAACCAGTGTGTTCAGGGCCTGCCCCACGGAGCATCTTAACATTCCCAGCCCTTGTACCATGTAATCGGGGAGAATAGCCCGGCAATCCGCCTATTTGTTCGGGGAGATACAAGGACACTGCACCCACCCTCCCCTTCCCTTGCTGCCGGGCTGCGGGTTCCTTGTCTACAGAGCCCTGTGCTCCCCACCCCACCTCCTAACCCAGGGATGGGTGCCAGCCCCCGCCCTACCTTGCCGATCAGCTTCCCCTTCTTGTTCATGCAGATGTAGAACCCCGTGGCCGCCCCCTTGATGCGCACACGGCTCCCAAAGGTGTCGGTCTCGACGATGAGCTTGGCTGGAGAGAGCAACAGGAGGAGAGACGGGGAGGTCACAGGGGTGGAGAACCTGGCAATGCCAGCCTCCTCCATGTCACTGCATCCCTGCATGGCAGGCCTTGGTCACCTCACTTTGTCACTTGGAGCAGCTCTGCCTTGCCCAGATCCACATGGCTCAGGTGCCACAGGGGCATCCCAGGAGGAAAAAGGGATCCCAGGGGACAGGGCAGCTGCCCTGCACAGTGCTCTGCCAGCTGTCCTCAGCCCGTGGGGACACTGCACCGAGCTGGGGCTGCAGGAGGAGCAGTGACTTTGCAGCTGGCAGGGGAGGCGTGAAGGGTACGGCCATCCTTTTAATGCCTTTCACCTTTGCACAAGTCGAGAGGGCATATTGATTTGGTCTCAGTTTTTTAATGGAGGCATCGATTGACTTCCTAAGGAGCTATGCAAATCACAGGTCGATGGGCCGCCTATAAATAGACCTGTCACCTTCCCCCCTGCGCGGCCACCCTGGGAACAGAGCATCCTCCTCCCCGCCCTGCAGCCCCCCGGCAGCTCTCCTCCTGGGGCAAACCCCAAACCCAACTGCAGCAGCAGAGCCATGCTGTGCCGCGTGCCAAAGGCTTCCCCACAAAAAGCCCCCCAGGGCTGTCCCAACTCACCACCACGTCCTGCCACAAACCAGCCCTCACTGCTGCCCCCCCCAACTTCAGGGGCACTCAGAGCACACAGCCTCTGCCCCACAGGGTGCACCGTTCTCCCAGCTCTGCAGATGGGATGCTCAGTTCCTCAGGACCACGATGCAGTTCATTTTCACCAGTAGCCCCCAGCCCTGCAGTGGCTTTGCAGTGATGCTGCTGGATGGCAGACCCAGGCCATGTGCTCACTAAACCCAGCCTGAGCAGTACTTCAGGATCACAGGTAAATCACCGCCTGTCTCCACAAAGTCTTGATCCTGCACCAAGCGTGGGGACTTCTCCCACTGCCCCCCCACAGCTCCTCACCTCCAGCACCCCATGCACCATCCCACACCCTCAGCCCAGCTCAGAGCCAGGAAATTTGGCTGCCCTCACCTCACACCAGCCCCTTGTAGGGGCTCAGCGTCCCTAGACCACCAAGCCAGGGACCCCCAATCACCCATATGGGGGAGGATTGATCCAGGAGGCAGTCAAAGCTTTAAGGAGAATTGATTTTTCCCTGCTCTCTCCCAGAGATAGGAAGAGCAGGGAGGGAGGGAGGAGGAAGGCAGGCACGGATGCGCGGCGCTCCCCTCCAGCCCTGGAGTCACAGCCATCAGCCTGCAGGAGGGGGACAAACCCGAGCAAAGGGACCGCAGGGGGGTGAGCAGATCAACGGCACCGCAGGAGAGGAAGGGAGAAGCCAGCAGTGCTGCCAGGGCCGAGAAGGAGTCCATCAGATATTGACAATTAAGACAGATAACCGACAGCGCCGGGCTCCATGTGAAGTCAGCTGTAAAAACGTCAGCATGGGAAAAGGGGTCACCCACAAAAATAAATCAGTTCCTTCTGCACGCCTGCCCCAAAAATCAGATGGGGGAAAAAAAACCAAAAACACACACTGCAGAAGGAAGGGCCCTTTCTAACGAAGGGTATTTTCTTCTGACAAAGGTTTTGGGGCGACATTTTTTCTCCCTATTTAAGGGACGGGGGGAGCTTAACATTTTCAACTCTGTTCTTTCGCTGAAGTGACAGATTTATCCCAGAAAAGTTATGTTTCGTGCTCAAACTTTGAAGGGAAAGCGGCTACGTAAACGCTGAAAAAATGCAGCGAGACACACTTGATCCCCCAACTGGACTGCGAAGAGGAGAAAGTATTCAGGAAATGTTAAAAAAGGTGAAAGTAAGAAGCGATTTAATAGCTCTTCCAGACATGGGGGCCTCCCTGGAGATTCATATAGAACAATCCCGAACCTCTATTTTAACATTTACAGACTTGCAACTCCTAAAACTTTACATCTGAAAAACTGCTTGTTCTCTCTCTGCTTTAGATCAGCCCTCGTTTTCCTGCCCCGCTCCTCAGATGCTTCACCTCTTTTATTACGTTTTAATAGAGTTTTTCGAGCCGCCGCCGCGCGTCCCCTCCTTTTGGCCTTATTTAAACCTGGCCGCTCCTGGAGGTGCGGAGCTGCCTTGAAAACGGAGGCGTTACAGGGCTAAAGCCAGAGGAGGCTTTGGGGTTTGCTTGGCCCTTTTGCTTGGGAAGCTGGCTGACGCTCCTTCCATCCAGGAGCGGCTCCCGACTAACACTGCGTACGGGATTCCACACACAGCTGAAGTTTGGTGCGACATCGGCAGCCAAAGCAAAAATGGGAATAAAAACCAAACACCAAACAGACCGGGGAAGGAAGCAAAGTGCTCCTACTAATCTCCCTCAACAAGAAAGGGAAATTGCGGCTAACATCAAAGAACGACGGTTGGGATGGCTCCGTACAGCACACGGCAGCACAGGCACCTCCTGTCCACAAGGGAATGGGGCACGGTGCCCCGCTGAGCATGGATGGGGCTGACGCCACTGTCCCCATGTGACACCAGCACGTGTGGCCGCGGTGCCCGGGCTTCGGGTGGCTGCAGCGTGGCACCGCTCTCCTCCCCACGGAACCACGGGCTGGGGGGACATGGGGTGCCAAGTGTGGCACAGCAGCAGGAGGGCCGTGCACAGTTGCAGAGCCCCCCCAGCTTTGTGTCCTCCTCGCCCGCAGCCAACACCTCGCCGAGTCCACACTCCTAGCTGGGGAAGGGGAAGCACCAGGAAGGGGAGTATGTGGGGGAAGCACCGCTTTGGATGGCTCTAACTCAGGGCAGGACTCCAGAGCAGCACTTCACCTACAATTTCAACCCCCTCGCGTCTCTTCCAACTTTACCCTCTGTTTCTCCTCCAAAGGAAGAATCAGAGACTGTCAGCGCTGCCTGTGCCAAACCAAGCCTCGCAAGTCAGGTGCGCAGCAGCAGCGAGCAGCACCCACCCCGCAAGCACCCAAACCCACTGAGCGCTCACCCTGCTGTTCTCCCTTCACAAACCCCTGCACACGCCAAGCGATCCTAATGATTTCTGGCCAACCAACAGGACGGAAATCATCAATCGGCACACAGCGCTGTGGACACTTCCCAGCCCACCCCCTCAACCACGTCCTTCCTTACCGTGCACGTCCCCGTCCTCAGCCATCGCATTGATTTTCTTGTTGTCCAAGATCTGCACGTGCTTCCCACTGGTCCGGCTGTACAGCTGGTAGGTGCGCACGAGCCGCCGGCTGAGCTGATCTGTCACCAGGCTCTGCTCCCTCACATGCTGTGTAAAATTAGGTGGGGACTGAACAGTTACCTTTAGGAAATTAAAAAATATACGACACACCATTATAATCTCTACTCCTCAGGGGGGCGAACGGGCTGAGCAAGGATCGCCGGCGCCTGCAGAGGAGGAGCAGAGTCAGTGGGATGGGGGGAGCTGAGCCCTTTGGGACCAGGATCCCCCAGACGGGTGTGTGAGTCGTGGGGATATGATGGGGCTCGGTGACCCCTGAGGTCTGCCAGGACTCGGTGGGTCCCAGCTGGCACAGAGGTACCCAAGATGGGGTAGGCAGCTGTCAGGACCCCCTTTGCCCCTAAACACCCCACTCTTCATGCCCCAAACCTGGAGACGAGGCAGAGCTATGAGCCGTCAGGACACCACTCCCTTCACCTATAGCACAAACCCCAAAGAGCTCCGTACCCATCCCTCACCATCACCCCGTTCCCGGTGCCGTCCCCATCCCAGCTCCAACCCCTGGCCCCCATAGCAGCAGCCGACCCAGCCCCTCCAGATCTGCTGCTCCCTCACCATAAGCAATTCTAGGATCAGCCCGACCCGCTCCCCCATCCCCAGCACAGGACTCCTTTCCCCCTTCGTCTCCAACCCCTCTTTTAAGTCCGGAAAATTTCACTGCTCACTGACATTTATAAAGACGTATTCCGAGCAAATGTTAGCGGGTCGCTCCTTTCAACACCAGCAGGCCAGGACCCCCCCGCCACCCCCACGTCAAACGGGAAGATTCCCCACCACCAGCAGACCCCAATAAAAGCCGGAGCCGCCTCTCTCCCGCAGCCGCCCATACATCGACATCTCCCCTCGGCAGTGCCACCCCTCTGCCTCCGCGCCTTTCCTGCAGCCGGCTGTGGATAATGCACGGACTCTCCCGGCCCTGATGAGGGTACCATGTGGAGGAGAGGTCATTAGCCGTGCCGCTCCGTCTCGTCCTCCAAAATATTACAGCTATGTTTTATACAACCGCACACTCCTCTGCTTTGGGGATGGAAACTCCATTTTTTTTTTTTTTTTTCTCCTGAGCTTCCAATGAAATAATAATAATAATAAAAAGCGGCTTAAGGAGCGTTTTCAAAACGCTTCTGCACCTGTGGCCCCGGGGGAGGGGGTTTCTCCCCATTTTGCACACAGCCACAGCCCCATCTCCCGCTGACACTCCTGGCCCCGGCGATGCCAACCAGCAGCAGCAATGTTCAGCTGGAGCGAAATCTGCGCTTTTTAGTAAGGAAATTGACTTTTATCCCCCCCTTCTTTCCCTCCTTCCCTTTTTTCTTTTCCTCCTCTTTTATTTTTTTCCTTTTCCCCCTTTTCTTCCTCCATCCCGACCCCTTTCTCTTAATTCTACTTCGTTTTTCGGATGAAAAAACAACTCCAGACAAGAGGAAGGGGCGATCCACAGTGCGATTTAAAGAAGAACGGGAGGAGCGAACCCCCGGTTCACGGGTGGGCGGGGGGCCCTCCGTCCCCCGCACCCCATCCCGCACCCGGCATGCAGCCACCCGCTCCCGGCTCTTTCCAGCGGGGCTCGCGTCGTCTGCGGGGCTTTAATCCGAAACCCCCCCGCGATCCCCGGCCCCGAGGGGCGAACAAAGCCGGCGGCGGAGCGGGCGCTTACCTGGGCTTGCAGGCAGAGGACGAACAAGTGCATGAACCTGGAAGAGGGGGTGGACAGAAAGCGGGAGAGAGGTGTGTGAGCCGGGGGGCTGCGGGGAGGAAAGGAGGGAGGGTTGGGGGCAGGCGGAGGGAGGTCTGCGGTACTCACACGTAGCTGAAGAGTGAGGAGCAGGGGTCCATCGCGGAGCGCTGCGGGGCCGGCAGCCCGGAGCCCGGCGGCGGGGTAGGGGGGGGGGGGGGCGCGGCGCTGCTCTGCTCCTCGACTCCTCTCGCCCTGCCTCGCCCCGAGGAAAGGAGGGCACAAGCGGCTACAGAAGGGGAAAGGCCCCCGCCGGCCCGCCCGCCCGCCCAGCCCCCGGGGGAGCGCGGCCGGCAGCCCCCCGCCGCGGGGAGCCCCCCGCCCCGCTCCGCTCCGCTGCCGGCCCGGGAGGCGGCGGGGGCGGAGAGCCGGGGGGGCGGCCCCGGCGGGGCGGCAGAGCGGGGGAAACCTTCGGCGGCTGCCGCTCGGGGGCGGCGGCGCTACGGGCTCGGCTGGCAGAGGGATGCCGTCCCCGCGCCGTGCCTCAGTTTCCCCATCTGTAAAACGAGGCTTAAGGGTCCGCGTTGTGGATTGGGGCCGAGCCCCGTCGCTGGACGTGTCAGACATTAAAAGGATTACCGGGGCGGACGGGTGGGCAGGAGTTTCGAGAGGCTGAGCAAACAGCGCAGCCGGGGGTACTGGGCGGCGGGACCCCCCTCCCCCGGACGTCCCCGCCGGGCGCTTACCTGGAGGGGCGGCCGTCCGTCAGCACCGGCTGCGCGGGGCCATGGGGCCGCGGCGGGACGGGGCTCAGCCCCGCAGCCCGGGTAGGGCCGCCGAGGGCTGCATTGTTCGGCGAGCCCCGCTGCTCCCGGCCCCGCCACCTGTTGCGCACCGGGGCGGGGGCTGCGGCGGGGCTGCGGCGGACGGGCGGGCGGGACCCCGGGGCCGGTACCTGGCCGGGGCCGCCTGCTCCGCGCTGAGTGACAGCCGCTAATTTGCCGGCCGTGCCCCGCTGCCGGTCCCCGCGCTCCCCGCGCCCTCCTTTATCTTATCAGAGCCCATAATTACAATTGCTATTTTGTTTCCTCGAATCAGCAATCAGCGCTATCTGCCGCCGCTGGAAAGGCAGCTCCTGTCAGCCGGCCTCTGAGTGACAGCGCACACAGCGCTCCTGCGCGGCCCTCCCGCACCGGCACACACACACACACACACACACACACACACGCACGCACGCACCCCCCATCCCCGCACAGCCCTCCCTGCCCCGCACGCACACTGCAGCCCGGCTCTCTCCTTCCCCACTTGCTCACGCACCCTCCAACGCTTCTCCCCATAACGCTGCCCACCACCACCCCCTGAGGCTCACCCACCGCCGGGCGCTGGGAGCAGGCACCGCGCACTGCCGTCCCCTTCTTCTCGATGCAGAAGACCAGGGGATGTTTCTGAAGTGCTTTCCTAAACGCCTGGAGAAGCCTCGGACTGAGCCCGCATTCACCTGGGAGGCTGCAGGGCGGCTGCTGGGGGTGATCAGTCCTCGGGTTCCGCTCAGAGAAAAGCCATCTGCACCAACCCCGGGTGCGAGGCAGCGCCGTGCCCACAAGTCGAGCACCAGAGTGGGCAGCACAAGGTGCTCCCACTGCCCTACAGTGGAACACTCCTGCTTTTCTTATCCACTGAAAGGAAAGGTCTGGATGCAGCACCTCTCTCCCAGATGCTACTCGTGGTCACCCCTCCGTGGGTGCGGGGTCAGGCCGTGCAGCACACAGAGCGTGCACAACCGCACCATGTGCTGGGGGGGGGGTCGGAGGGAGCTGGGGGCTGGCGGCTCCACGTGCCCCCTGCCCTCAGCAAACAGGCTAGATTGCCAGCACGGCTGTGACACGGGGATCACCCACGGGAGGCCACACGTTGCTGACACAATGACAAACAGTGCTTCTGCTGCTGCCCCGTCCTTCCCCGCCTCCGTGCAGGTGAGCAGTGTCATGGGATGGGGAACTGGGTGCTTGGCTCATGGCTGGCCCTCCTGCTGGGCAGAGAAAGCTCAGCCTGAGGCACGGGGCTGAGCTGCCATGGGGAGGGGGAAGAAATCCCATCCCAGCAAAAGGCTGTGGACATGGGGTGTTCCTGCTGCCACAGCTGTCACTCCTGGGGGAGGCAGCCAGCATGGACCCATCGGGTCCCAATACTGAATGCTGTGGGTGAAGCATCAAACACCCAGAGATGTGAGCTCTGCTCCCTTCATCCTTTTCCATAGAGCTGGGGATATTCAGGTCAGGATTTTATCTCCCACATCATCTTCTTTCCTTGCCATGGCTAATGGGGAATGCCCAGGAAGGCAGCCCATGGTCTGGCCGCTGATGGCTGGAGGAGATTCAGGCTGCTCCAGCTGGGCTGAGCCATGGAGCAGACAGTAGCAGGGCCATTATATTCCTCTGTTCGATGCATTGTGCAAAATCCCTGACAGCCTCCACAGTTCAGCAGGGTCCCTGCTCTACCCCCATCCCTACCCAAAACCCAGAGGGGTCCTTCTGCCAGAGAGTGTGGCTGCAGTTCACCACGAGCCCCTAGCACTGCTGAGACACAGACCACAACACCAACCCCAGCTGATGGGGGAGAGCAGCACCTGCAAGGTGCACCCCAACACCCATCTGAGGGGATGCAGGCCTGGATGCTCGGCCACACATCCCCAGAAGGGCACATGGAGACCCCCCAGTGGCGCCAACGGGACACCGCTCCCCCTGCTTGCACCCTCTCCAGCCCTGCCTGCAGCATTAATGGGGCGTTGTGGAGGCAGCAGCTCTTCTCCACGGCTGAGTGGTGCTGAGCAGCCCAGGGCGATCCCACTGCTCACCATTAACTCAGCATCCTCCCCAAGGGCCAGACCCCACCACAATGTGTTACGTGGGAATGACCTCGTCTGCACTACCCACAGCTCCAGGAACAGGGAGGGGGGTACAGCTGCTCCTTATTGATTCTCCTCTCTGCTCAGTTGGTGGCACCAGGGCTGAGCGTGGTGGGAATGTTGGCACAGGAGAACAGAAACACGGGGCTGCGCCCACCCTGCACAGGACTGACCACAGTGGTGTGGCCCCTTTGAGTAGATACAAAGGAGGGCTTGGAGGTGAGCCAGGGACATGGGAAAAGACCAGGAGTAGTGGGGGGGTGGGGCAGCAATGGGGAGACCATTGCTGCCAGGCCACACACACTTCCAAAGGGGGAGAACTGGTAAAGGTCCCATCAAGTCCCACCACTGGGCTTTGAGTTAGATGGAAGCTGACAATAAGGGCACTTTGTGTTGGGTCAATTAATGAAGAAGGTGATAGCCCCAGCCCTGAGTAATTTAAACGTGAAGTTGGGCATTCTGGCATCCATCTTCTCTGGACACAGTAGCCAGAACAGGGGGACTATGGGCCTTGGGCGTGGAAAAATGGTGACATACGCAGATGAGGACAAGCACATGTGGTGCTTGAGCAGCTCCACCCCATCCCTGCTGCCCAGCATGGACCAAACAGCACCTCCAGGACCTGCTTTCAGTGTGCTGCTGGCTGGCACAGCCCACCCAGCACCTTCCTCTTGGCCTGCAGCACATCTGACTTCAGTTTGGGTCCTCCTGGGAAGAGGATGCCTGCACCCAGCCCTGCGGGGGGGCTAAGCCTAAAACCAACATTGGTGGCCGGGGGGCTGTCGGCTGCCTGTAATTCTACCTCCTTTTGTTTGCTTATAGCATCCACCCAAAATGCCCGTGTGTGTGTCTCCGGGCCCCTGTGTCAGTGGCAGCTGAACTGCTGACCTCAGGAGTTTGCAAAACACCAGGGTTATGGCCCCTCGGACATCCCAGCCCGGTGGAGACGTTCCTCATCCTGACCTCATCCTGGGTAACCAGCCCCTGGCACCCTGCATGGGGACAAGGGGAGAGAGCCAGCGAGAGCCAACCCCAGAGGAGGGGCCACGTGGGCACGCTCCCCATCGCACCTGCTGCTCTTCGGTCCAGCCCCATGGACTTACCCAAGCTCATACCTCCAGTTCCCACCACGGAAACCAAATCTTGCCCATCTCCCCTAAAAACAGAACAGCAGGTCCAGCAAGCAGACCCCAAATCCCACTGGGCACAGCCCTGCCGCCACCAGCCCTGGCAGGGAGTTGTGTCCTGTGGTGACATCTCTGCCAGCACCAGGGCCATGCCAGCCTGCAGTGATGAGAGGGGTTGGAGGGCAGGACACTTGTGACCCCAGGGTATCTCAGCTGTGGCTGTTGGGTGCAAAGTGCCATCACTGCCTGGGGACACAGGAGGGGACAGCGTGGCAGAACTGTGCAGATGGAAATTCCCACTGTGCAGCAGTGGGCACAGACTGCAGCTGTCTGACACCACCTGACTGTGTTCACTTTTAACACCTCCCCTGGGCGCTTATGGCTTTGGGCCCGCCTCGTGGCACAAGCCGTGCTCCAGCATCACCAGGCACTGTGCCCCACAGCCCTGGCCGTGCTGAGCATCCATTCAGCCACCGGTACCCGAGGAGGAAAGCAACATGAGAAGTGGAGCACTGATGGAGCAGGGAACCAGCCCCACCTACAGCACGGCCACAGCCGTGCCTCGCGTAGGCTGCCCAGGATCAGGGCATCCTGGGGATGCTATAGCAGAGAGGGATCCATCCCCTGGGATACGTCAGCATGCAGCACCCCGAAGACAGCACAGCCCCAGGGAGGAGGAATGCTCAGAGCCACCCACCCTCTGGATTCCCACACACCCCAGCACAGCCGTACCTGAGCTCACCCGCTCTCCTCCAGCCCTGTTTGTTTGCCCAAGGTATTTGTGGCCGGTGGCACCTGCTTCGATACCATCAGCTCGGCAAAGGAAGCTGCTCACCTAGCGTGACCCCTGTAATTCCATCCTTTCCCATTAACAGCCCCCCTCCCAGCCCCCCGCCATCTCAGCATTCATCTCTCTCTCCCAAACTCAGCCAGGCTGTGACGCTGCTGGGCAGGGGGACCAAATCTCTCCAAGGCACTGAGAGCTCCTGGCAGTGCCAGCTGCCCCACCCCCTCTGAGTGCCCCCCTGAGTCATTCCTTCTTACAGAACCGTCCCTCCTGCCACAGCCCCTTATCCCAGCATCCCCAAGGCAACCAGCACCTTGGCAATCCTCTCCTGTTCTACAAGATCCCAAATGCCATCTGACATCAGCCTGCACAACCTCTCCCTCCTGGTACCACTC